TTCGCTATGGAATCACAGTCTGGTTTGGGAACCTGTCTGTTCAATTGAAAAATAAATTGGTTCATATATAAAAAAAACAGCCATAAAAATTATAGGAATAAAACAATATGAGCCCATACAGACTCTATATTCAATTCAATACAATTCAGCTTTATTTGTATAGCGCTTTTACAATGTAGATTGTGTCCAAGCAGCTTCACATAAATGGTNCATAGTTACTGGATCAGGGTAGTTTAGTTTTAGTGTTTTAGTGTAAGTTCAGTTCAGTTTAGCTCAGTTCAGTGTGGTTTAAAGTCGGCAGTCATGAGAAGAGCCATAAATATTAGTGCTGATTCCAAACAATCTCTTTTCAGTGAATATCAGCTGTTACCATTAGGAAAAAGACTGAGAATGCCAATATGTAAAATCAATAGACTGAAGCTTTCGTTTGTTCCTACCTCGATAAAACTGTTGAACTCTACCAATAACACTGCCCCTGTAATACGTTTGCACCTGACTGGGTTTTGTGTTTTATACTTGTATACGGTCTTATTTTGTAAGCAATGTATGTTTTTAATTGTTTTGTTTTATCTATTATTACTGTCTGTTTAGAGCAATGTTGTGGCACCTTTTTGCCCAAGACAAATTTCCTCTCGGGGACAAATAAAGTTTATCCCGTCCTATCCTAATTCATAAATGTCTAGAACCACTGGAGTGAGAGTAAATAGTGAGGATATTTTAATTTTTGTGTGAACTATCCCTTTAATAGACATACTTAGTAGTTAAAGGTGCTGTATGAATGTTTTGACCCCTATAAGACATAAAAATACCATAATATGTTTGCAGATATTTAAGAAACGTGCTCAGTGAACATTCTTGAAAAGATATTCTGCTTTGAAAATGTGCGTTACATGCTTGAACGTCTGTTTTTGTTTTGGTCATCTAACCCGCCCAATGTCATTTTAGCCAATTATATTTCAGCACCCCGTGTTTTATTAGTGGAAAATAGCGTATTTGATTTATTCAGTCAGGAAGGCTTTCAAAGTGTGTGTCCGTGACTGAAATGCGACCTCCGGTGGACAGTAGCAGACTCTGAAATGTGACGCAGACATGGAGTTTCACGTGAGGTGGTTGTTGATTAGCTAATAATATAAATATTACGAATGAAAACATTAGGTGAGTGCGTCCTAACAACACACTACATGATGAGATTTGCAGTGATAAGCAATTTGTCTGTTTGCACTAAACAAAACACCACAGAAATTAAAATACAGCCATTCAGAAGCACTGAATAGTGCACTCACTGCACTCCAACAAAATGCTAAGGTTTATAATCTAATTAATACATATTAACCCTCTTTAACATCATTAAATGTACATGCTGAATCACTGGTATGTGAGTTACAGATCTAAAGTTTAATTTCAGATGGTTTATTTTATTTTCAAGAACTGAGGTGAGCTGTCTGCTGCTGCTTTCAGTAGTATGACGATACATGTCATGTAAAATACCATTCAAGCTCACAGTATTAGGCCTTAACACTGAATAAAGCACATCAGGTGTACCTGAGGTGATCAGTTTATCCTGTAGTTCAGCTGCAAGAAATAGAAGCCATTTCTAAAATACAAATTTCAGGTGTTGGTTATAACAAAAACCCATTTTAATAATAAATATTTGTAAATATTCCTTCTATCGCATGTCGTTGCTTTTATATAGAAAATGATTTTAATCAGATTTAAATCAGCCTTTAGGCTCCACAGTCCCACAATATCCAGCTGCAGGCCCGCAGAACCACACACGTTTTAGGCACACACAATCTAGAACGCACAATCTAGGCAAACCATATATGGTTATGACGGATGTTAATGTTATAAACGTCTTTTTGAACATCGTCATCGATATATTTTGATATAAATGATTAATAAATATTGTAAACAATAAACAATAGTGTTTACTTTATTTCACAAATATTGCGATTGAGACGGCCGAATGGCGCATTGTTTCCGATCGCCATTCAATATAATAGACTGAACAGTTTTTAATCAGTCATTATAGCTGATCAGTCACTATTATCTGACAATAATATGGCCACTACCCGTTTGCTGGCCTTGCTGAACGATTTAATTTGGACAGGTTTAATTTATATAATGGATTAATTTATGATGAAGGAAATAATAGCAAGTTAAAATAGGCAATAATACATTATATGTAATAAAACTTTTTTTTACATGTAACAAATGTATAACACTATATTTATATTTTACTAATGCTATTTAATAGTGTTTATTAGCTTAATTTTCTAATAACCTTTTAATTAATGATTTCCCACATTTAATACTGTAGTAATTTATAGTGAGCAATAAATTGTTTTTAAACCAAAATTTAGAAATAGAGACAAATTAACTATTAATAATAAAAAAATCATAAGTAAATACACACACACAAACGCACACGCACACACACACACACACACACACACACACACACACATATATATATATTTGTATATATATATATATATATATATATATATATATATAAAACAGCTGTGACAGTAAAAGATAGTAGTAATTAGTAGTGATTAGTAAAAGATAGTAGTATATATATAAACTTATAATTATAATCAGTTAAGATGATAAGTTTATAACTATATATATTGTTTAAAGGATTAACTATAGCAGGATAATTTATTTTAAAGTGACATATTATTGTTTGCTTTTTTATATTTTACAACAAAGTGATTTTAACCAAGTATGATAATATTAAGAGCTTGAATTAGTTTATTACACTTAATCCAACAATTAGACGGTCCCTAATGTTTTCTTTGTGTATATGGACACATGAATAAAGTCATAAGTGTCTTTAACCAATTATTTTTATTTACATAATTTGAGTTCAGAAACTGTAGAGATGTTAAAATGATCGTTACGATATAATAATAATAATGACTGAAATGGGAAACCATATTTGTGAAATTCAATAGGTGGCGATAATGCTAAAGAGTTGGTTACCATATATGGTTTGCCTAAATCGTGTGTCCTAGATTGTGTGTGCCTAAAACGTGTGTGGTTCTGTGGGCCTGCAGCTGCTGGATATATCTCCGACAGTCAGTCTCGCACCTGTTGACAATCTGGCAACCTACACTTTTGGCACCTTTTATATACTTTAAATGAGGATTCCATCTGTCTGTTTTTAGATTCCATCTATCCATTTGTTAATATGTTTGCACATGTACTTTCAGAGTTTGGTGTTGGTCTAGGTATTGGTTTGTGCTGTGTACCGTCTTCTGGCGGCTGTCCGGGAATCTACATTCACACACTGTCTCCTGGATCTGTGGTTCACATGGACGGACGATTAAGGTATGAAGATGATAGATCTTTAAAATATGAAATAATGACACTCTATTGTTTTGTGCGAGTTTTATTATGCAATTTCGAATGAATAGAATATTAACATCACTCTAATCATGTTTTATTTGAATACATTTACTGTTTTACATGTATCTTATATGTAAATATTAATTCATGAGCATTTCAAATGTCTCGATTCACAAAGTTTAAATAATTTAGCTTACATAAAAATATTAAGATGTATTTACATTAATTAAAAGATTAACAAATGTATTGCAAATGTCCCATTGTTTGCAAAGAGCTTCAAGTCCATTTTTAATGTACAAAAATGACAGTAGACTTTTAAATGGCATAACAAGAGCATTGCAATTAATTATTGCTAAATTAAGCAAAGACACGAAACAAGACTAGACACTTTGAGAGAGGTCTGGATGCAGACCTGGTGCTGTGCAATCTGAGCTGCATCCAATGCTTTTTACAGTTTTTTACAATGGCTATGACACTTTTTTCAATACATTTAACAAGTTTGCTAAACTCTTAACGCAGCAACACACCTAAAATACACAATTGGCAAAACAGTTAATTTTATGCTCAAAATCACACATTATAAACTAAACCTCTAAACTACTTTTCAAAATTTAATAATAAACGAACACACTACACCATGTCTAACAAAACACTGCAATCATGTTTCAAAATGAAATTATTGTTCAAAACACAAACACATGTTCTCTTCCAACATAAAAATTCAGTCAATCAGAACACACTGACAATAAAAACACTAGCATCAGCTGACATTACAGAAACTCCATTAGTTTATGTGTCAGCTCTGCTCTTATATTTGAAGTCTCGTTACAGTTTTGTTTTGTTGGGTTTAGTAAATGCCTGCATTTTCTTTCGTTTACGGCAAAAATTCTATACAAAACGAGCGTGGTTTCTAAAGTTAACCAAGCTGCAGCGCTGTGGCTTGCTGTAATAATGCGTGTGGTTTGCTGGGATGTTAGTGAGTGAGTTTTGGTGTGGATGTTTGTCAGATGTGGTGATGAGATCATGGAGATCAATGAGACGGTGGTCTGCAACATGACGCTGAACGATGTGTACACAGTTCTGAGCCAGTGCAGCCCGGGCCCGGTTCACATCATCATCAGTCGACACCCCGACCCCAAAGTAAGTATAACCTTCCTTGTAGAGCATCACGGGCCACGTTTAATGATCACACAGATGCAGAGACACTTCACACTTCATTATGACCAATCAAACCGACACTTTTGTTTTCATAGCTATAATTCTGAGCTGTCAACAGTCAAATTAGATTTGTAGTAATGTATTTGTTTGACCTTTTTTTCATGTCTGCGTAAGCTGGAAGTTATAGAGGACCTGGCGTGCCAGTTAAAAATAAAATCAAATTATCAATGTAATAATTGAAGCATTAAAATGTGTGTAGTTAAATCACAATTTAAATTGACAATAAATATACATATTTAAATGTGTTTATTTAAAGGTGCTGCATGTAAGTTTTTGACTTCTAAAGCATACAAAAAAAACAAAATGTTTGCAGATTTTTAAGAAACATGCTCAGTGAACATTCTTGCTTATCTGAAAAACAATAAATCAGATATTCTGCTTTGAAAATGTGTTTTCTTATGAAAATGTGAAAATATCTATTTCTTATTTCATTTTCTATTGTTTTAATAAGAAAGATTATTCTATTATTATTTTTTTTTATTATTGATTTTGATTGGGCTATATAAGCTATATATAATTTCAATTTTTTTATTTATAGGCCTAGCCCATGGCAGGCTACGCAGAATATTTTAAATAAGTAGGTTTAAATAAAATACAAAAGGATCGGAAGAAATTATTGAGGAAATTACTGATAAGTTAGATAAAAATGAGAAGGTTGGAATTTTTATAGATTTAAAGATTTGAGGCATTTGATAAAATAAATCATAAAATATTGGTTAATGAATTAGAAAGGTATGGTATTAGAGGAGTAGCCTTGGCTCAAAGCAGTTATGAAAAAAATAGGCAACAGTTTGTGGAAATTGGCAACCATAAATCGTCAAATATAATAATAGGTGTGGCATACCACAAGGATCAGTTTTAGGTCCAATATCCTCCTTAGACACCAAAAAAAAAATTTTTTTTTTTTTTGTTTTTAATGATTTCCTACATCCTTTAGGTTAAAAAAAAGTGTTTTTACATTTAGTTTATATTTTTAATTTTACAGCATGTCTACTGTAGTGGACCACAGGACCATTTTAGTTTGAAACGACCGCCACTCAGACAACAAAACTGTACAGGATATGGCTGTAAAGGGTTATTAATCCAATATTAATGTAACAAAAAACAAAACAAAAGCCATTCTTTTCTTTTGTATTGAAATTCCTAAAAAAGTTTAGTCTGAAAGAGCCGAACTCAAAAAAAAAAAAAAAAAAAAAAAGAAGTGATGCTAATCCAAAACAAATTTAACACAAAAGTGTTAAAACTGATTGTCATTCTCTAATTGTCTCTAATTTTCTAATTGTCTGATTTGTCAGACTCTAAATCAGAGTCTCCCTCAACTATCTTATAAAGAATCCTCTCTGCTTCAGTTCTGCCTCCTACAACATGCAGTCATTAATTACATCAAGATGGTCCTGGTGTCTACTATAGTGCTCATTTAAAAAAGGATGACATTTTGAAAAACAAACAAGTTAACAGCTTTGAAAGCTAAATGTATTGTTCCTGACACTTCAATAAACAAATATATATATGTAATAATAATAGTAAAAAACATTTGCTAGTTGTTGACCATTGCTCAGTTATACCATAGACAAGTTTTGAGTAAAGCTCAAAGTATTCTGTCAGATGATTCTTATCCTATGCACCACGAGTTCTTGCTTCTGGTATATTAGTAAAACAAATCGGTTTAAACTTTCATTCATAATTTAAATTTAGGGTAGAATTTGTATTGTATAATGTACTTTTGTGTGTCATGTGTGACATGCTTGTATGCTGCAACCAAATTGCCTTCGGGAAATAAATAAAGACTGACTGACTGACTTAAAAAGCTAAATTTTACATGCCTCTCTCATTCCCAAAATGTGCTTTTTGTATGTCGGCCATTTTGGACGCAGTCTAAGAAGTGGTTCCGAGCATGCCAGCCAATCAAATGACATATCAATAGAAAGCCCAGGATGTCCTCTGAACAGTACAACAGGACTTGACAGAGAAGCTCCAAAAATTCAAAGAAAATTCAAGAAAATGCAATGTCCACTACAGATGACACAAGTCAATGGGCAGGGTCTCAGGAGGATATTGTTTATAATTTACATTAATGATATGTGTAAGATATCAGAGTTGTTTAAGTTTATTTTAATTGCAGATGATACGAGTATATTTTGTTCTGGGGAAAGTTGATTAAAACAGAAATTAACAAGTTGAATAAAACAAAGGTTAGGTTATTTGGGGAATTAAAAAGTAGTCATAATGTAGATTTACATATTGATAATGAAGTTATAGAAGGAGTATGTGCAATTTATATTCTTGGTGTTGTATTGGATCTTAAAATTAGTTGGAAACCACAAATAAATAATGTGATATCAAATTAAAATTAGTCAAAACTGCAGCAATAGTGTATAAAGCAAGATTTATCCTGGACAATAAATCAATGTATATATAATATTACACTCTTATGTTGCCATATACGAGTTATTGTGTTTAAATTTGGGCGAATACATATAAAGCTAATTTACAATCCGTATGTACAATGCAGAAAGAAGTAGAATATGTTTATTTTTTAAATTGAAGATACTCAAGTTCAATGATTTGGTTAAATTTTAAACAGCACGATTTAAAGCTAGGTGTAAATTACTTCAGAAATGGATACAAAAGTTTTTTGAAGAAAATCGAACTAAAATTTTTGGAGGTTTAAAACAAGGACAACTTTAAAAAATGGCTGTCTGTGGTGTAAAACTATGAAACAGTTTACATAAGACTCTCAAACAATGTCAGAATAATAATCAATTAAAAAAGCAGTGTAAGTATATATTATTAAAGGAATATAGTGATGAAGGTGATTGAAAAACGATTAAGTGAAAAAGGTATGATGACATTTTTATTAATGGCTATTTGCAGTACTATGTATTTGGGGGGGCGGGGTCTATGTTACAAAATGTAAAGGTACAAATGGAATCAAACATATAATATTTCAAAGATGTCAAAAAGATCAAATATGTCTCATGTAAAAAGAAGAGATGAGAAAAAGAAGTAATAAGTTTAAGTAATAGACGAATGTTGTATGTGGTAATGGGGTGGAAAAATAATAAGCTTGTGCTTCATCCCACTCCATTTTCGACCGTGTTGAAATGTATTTTGTTGTTAATGATATTTTATGTATGATATTTTTGTTAGAAAATTAATAAATCAAATCAAAATCAAAGTCGGTGGCTCTGCACGAGCAGCATCTCCAGGTAGCCAACTCATTTAAGAGCCGAACCTAAAGTTTACCTGCAAAAAGCCTATACAATACGGTCAGCCGCAAATTATACCTATTTCTCATGCGTTTTCTCACACAACAAGACTTTCGAGACATTCTAAAATGCTGGATTAATAAACACATTTTCAAAGGAACTAATTAAACACATACATTTAATTCATAATAAATAATGTCTTGCAAATTTAGACTTATAGATGAGCTGTCTGTCTGTACGTTGCACTAATAGTGAACTTGACATTTCAGCTTGATCTCACGAGGAAACGTAAGTATTTTATGTTTTGTCAGTTTAGTGGCTAATTTGTACGAATTCGTAGTTCAGTTCAGTCGTACGAAAATGTACGATTTTAAAAAGGAGGCGTGGCACCCAACCCCACCCCTAACCCTAAAAGTCATTGGGTGATGAGCAAATCGTACTAAATAAACTGTATGAAATGTACAGATTTATACGAATTAGCCACTAAATTCGAAAGTTACGAATTGCCGTGAGATTGTGTTGGACATTTGCTCTTCGTAAGAAGATTATTTTAAAGTGTGTGTGTGTGTGTGTGTGTGTGTGTGTGTGTGTGTGTGTGTGTAGGTCTCTGAGCAGCAGCTGAACGAAGCCATCTCTCAGGCGGTGGAGAACAGCAGATTGAGGAAAGACAGGAGTCAGTGGAGTATGGATGGATGTAACAGCAGTGAGTACCCACTTTGTGTGTTTTTCTCTCAAATCATTGTTGGGTAGTCATTTCTAAGACCGGATTTACATATCTAAGATATCTGAAGCGTGTGCGGCTAAGTCTACACTGATCTGGATAAATATGAAAACAGCATTTTCATCTAAAAACGATCCATGTCCACATTATCGTTTTCAATTCTTCCGTCATCCACACTAAAAGGACTGAAAACACTTTTGTTTAGTACTGCACATGCGCTTTATCTGCCTGCCATTTATTTACTTTCTGTCTCTATGAAACATCGCAGCAAAATGCTGCTCCTGCCGCTGAACAAGAGCTCTCAGTAAACATCCCGTATCCTTTGAAGAGAGGCAAACTGGAGCATCTAAAAACTGGCATTATCTTTAATAAAGCTGTCAAAATGAGCAGCAAACAAAACATCTGCTTAACAATATCGTAGACTAAAATGCATCATCGTTTTCGAAAGCCTCCGTTTTCATAGTCGACACTGCAACACGAAAACGCCATTTTCAAATGTATTCACTTTGGTCAGTGTTTACAAAAAGAAAACGCCATGAAAACACCATGTTGGTGTGGACAGAAGGTTGAAACAAAGAGAAAAATATGCGTTTTAACGTATATTAAACGTATTAGTGTGGACATGGCCTGAGTGATTCTGAAATTTGAGCTATTTTGGAGTTTACTCACTGAAATTTTTAATGGCTTGATAATAATATGATGAGCACAACAAGGGCGAAGCAGTGGCGCAGTAGGTAGTGCTGTCGCCTCACAGCAAGAAGGTTGCTGGGTCGCTGGTTCGAACTTCGGCTCATTTGGTGTTTCTGTGTGGAATTTGCATGTTCTCCCTGTGTTCGCGTGGGTTTCCTCCGGGTGCTCCAGTTTCCCCCACAGTCCAAAGACATGCGATACAGGTGAATTGGGTAGGCTAAATTGTCTGTAGTGTATGAGTGTGTGTGTGAGAATGTGTGTATGGATGTTTCCCAGAGATGTATTGCGGCTGGAAGGGCATCCGCTGCGTAAAAAGTTTGCTGGAAAAGTTGGCGGTTCATTCCGCTGTGGCAACCCTGAATTAATAAATGGACTAAGCTGACAAGAAAATTAATGAATGAATGAGCACAACGACAGACAACTGGTAATGAATTTTAAAGATGGGTATGTGCGATTTGGTCAGATTTAAAAATGTTATTTCTGTGGTCCGCTCACGAAGATTTGGACACCATTAAAAAGGGAGTGAAAAAACAACAACTAATAGAATCAGTAAAAACTTGTTAGCCATGACAATTTTTATAGTAAATACATTATGATCAATACACAATATAAATTTATGAATAATATTAGTATATTCAATATATTAATATAATAATATTACTACTACTGCTAATAATAATAATACTAAACTTCATAATTTTATGAATAATGATAGTAATCATCATCCTCATAATCAAGAATTATTTTAAATTAGACTTTTGTAATATATGTTAAACATAAATAGTAAAAGAATCACTTAATCTATAACAAAATGCTAAAATAATGTAATTTACAAGACAAAATATTTTTTAAATATGTACAAAGTTTTATACAACGTTATATTCATATAAATAGGTATAATTCAGAACTCTGAAAACATTTCATAATAAATAATAATGAATAATAATTTCATAATGACTAAATAAAAAATAATTGAAAATAAATAACATTTAATTATATATATATATATATATATATATATATATATATATATATATATATATATATATATATATATATATATATATATATATATATATATATATATATATATAGATATATATATATATATATATATATATATATATATATATAT